CCACAGACTCCCACCAAGTGTGGGCATTCCCATCCAACATATAAATTGATCCTAAATAACGTCATTATGAATATAAACCTAGTTGATCCATGCGTCACTCGGTATCACTGAGCCAATCCTCGGCCTCAGTCGGGGATCCACCAGTAAGGCCACTAAACGTCCTAACTCCATTAGCAATCAGAGTCTGAGAGATAAGGACCTCGGGTACAATGCCAGCAGCTCTGACCGCTCCCTGAATCAACTGAAGAAACTGTATACCAAGATTCTCATCTAATACAACTCTAGTAGACTCGGGCTCGGAAACAGTCGCTACTCTAATCGGAGTAGTCAAGCCATTACCAGAAGTAGGGGGCAGATCCGTCGGGGTCATAGGAACAGGATCACCTATCGGAGACGGGGGATCTACACATATCTCATCTACTGGGTCTATAAATCTAGTCATTCTACCTCGTACACAGTTAGTTCAACAACCTCGTCTAGCATTCATCTTGGTGGATCTTTAGTTTACTACATAAGATAAAGCCTAGGGTTAGATTGTCACTTAGAGTCCCGAACACAATTAAACTCGTAAAAATTTGTGACATGACCTTAGTGACTTATCTTGTAAAACATTTCAAAACTATATTTTCAGTTTGGACCCATTCACAGTCCGAGGTTTAAAAATCAAAAGCTCTGATACCAAATAAATGTAACTCCCTAGACCCAGCTTATGCGTTTTGACTAAGTCTAGCGGATTACATTAAAAATTCTTAAAAACTTTTTCCAAAAATGTTATTCGATAATTTAAATCATATTACAAATGACATTTATAAAAGTATCATAATTAACGATAAAAACCCCAACTCGTAAATATAAAACTAAACGCGACCAGGTAAAATTAAACATGTAACAAATCTGAAGCACAATAAATCAGATATCAGTAGCAAAAGCAGTAAACATCATAAAAAGATAAATACTTTAAAAATAAGGCACATGTCACCATAATTCAAAGGAGTTCGGAAGATAGAAACATTATAACAAAAAGATATGTACTAAATATGCCAATCCTCCAAGTGCCTGATACGGAGTGCCTATCCGAGAGTATCTGAAAATGGGGTAAAACAGTTTGAAAAGTGAGCTAAAGGCTCAATGTGTCCCAACAGTGCAAAAATAAAAATATACAAATATGCTTATAAAATCAGTGCATATCACAGTCATTAAAACATCACAAGAGTTTTAAATTTAAAAATTATGTACCATCCTCTAACCAAATACCATGTGTAGTTCCCCAGAACTGCACAACCTAAGGGAGTATGTTGGGGCCTGAGAGCCTACCCAAGAAAATTCTCGGGGCCACGGAGGCTTACCCAAGAAAAATATCGGGGCCGTATAACCTACCCAAGGGTTGCCTTAGGTTCATAAGAAATTATCATTCGATGCTGAATCTATCCAAGGAATTACCAACAGTGACTGAACCTGCCAGAGTCTTCATACCAAATCCAGAGTGCCCCGAATAAAACATTTTTCATACCGTAACCAGTAGTAGCAGTAAATCAGAGTTCAGACATATCATCAGTTCAGTAAAACAGTAACCAAAAATCATAATTCAGACAATCATGCTTTATTTTTCAATAAATCAAGAATGAAGTTTCAAAACAGGTAAGTTATACAGTAATCAAATCAGATCAAACATTATATTTCAAATCAGAGAAAACATTCAAGAGCACATGAGATTTCAAGCATATATTTAAAATATTTATATTGCACACAAGGAACACACCTTGCAAAACGGGTCAGTCCGAAAGATCTATCGAGCACCTGTTTCACTAGGCTCTTCGACAAAACGGGAACCTAAGTTATATCAGAATAGGGTCATATAAGGAATAATATTCTAAATAGAATATCTAACATGGTTACAGAACTATACGAGTATTCAGGGCCTCTCGAAGACAAGCAGATCGAGAGGAACCGGGTCAAGCAGTGAAACGGTCAGGAGATCCCCGAGTACTTTTAACATACGATAACATTAATTAGTCATTGACCATTCGGTTCAATTAACTGAATTAAAACACTTAAATAAATATGCATTTTTTGGGTTTACGAGTCAATTCGGAGGCTTTCGGGTTTGAATTTGGCAAAACAGACTTCGGATTTGGACTCAGGACATTGAAAATATAAAATATGGCTTTTCGGAAAATTTAACTTTTTGGGTCAAAGTCAACTCTGGTCAAAGTCAACGGGTTGGGTCGGGTCAGGTAAGCGGTTTGGGTCAGGTTGGGCCTGTTTAATCTGGTCCAGACCGGCAGGATCGGTTTCTAGAAGAAACCTGAGCTGGAACAAGCCCCATGCGCACGTGGTGGCGCGTGGGGGCGCGTGAGATGGCGGTAGGGTCAGGGGTGGACGGCCGATTACTTCCGAGCACACCAAACAACTAAAATAACCCATATCAATCCTTAAATCATCCTAAAATTGTCGAAATAAAAAGAAAATGGTCGAATCTCTTACCCACGCCAACGATGACAAAAACGGCGACGGCAGACGGTATCTTCGGTCGGGTTTTGAACGCACGGCAATGAGGAATCGATATTTAGGGGCGGTGAGGCGAACGGCTGAGTACGGTGGCCGAATTTCAAGAAAAAACCGAATGGTGAGTCTTGGGATTTCAACGGAAACTCATCGACTTCTCTGCGACGTTTGGCGGCCGATTAGCATCGGTTGAGCCTAGGGTTTTAATCAGCGCAAGTCGACGAGTCCGCTGGTGGTGGCGTCGTGCTCCAACAGTGGCCATACGTCACTGCTCGAAGGAGGAAAGTTGTGACAGTTAAGGGGTTTGGAATTTAATTTGGGGTTTTCAATTTTTAAGCATATATTATAAATATCCAATAGTTAATAATTTGAATAGAACCCTAGCCTAAATAGTAGAGTCATGAGCCTTGCTCTGATGGACACGGGTTAAAACCTCCCCATCTTTTTCAGCAGATCTGAAAAATGGTTTAATTCAGGGTTAAGTCACTGAATTTACAAAACTTTTGAATTTAGTTTAGAAGCTTTAAAAATTTCAGTTTAGTCCGGAAAAACAATTAAAAAAATTTTAGAGAAAATTTTTGGGTTCTGACAGTTTGTAGCTGTTGTTATTATATGGTTGGGGTCTTTGTTGAGTGAACAATAGGTGTCTCAAAGCTACAAACCAGTTCAATGGTGTGCTAATACAAATGCAGATATCTCCGGTCTGCACTCTTAGTTTAAACATGTTGAATTGGACTTATATTTTTGTTTTAAGAAGATTTCTGCGGGAGAATTAGTGGTCAATAAGGTACCCGTAAATAGCCAATATTGTGTTTACAAAACTGTTTTGGTTGCAAGAAGGGAGTTTTACAACTTCCTCTGCCCTCTGCTTCGAAGCTTTGACTCCCACGTGCTTCTGGTTCTTTCTTCTTATTTGTTTGAGTTCCTTTTTCTTTTTTTTCTGTTTACATTTTTTTCTTGTTTCAGTTTGCTACTTCTTGTGTTTGTTCTTTGATGTAGGTGCAGGTTTGGAACAAGTTCATAAGTAAGGAAGAGGTTTTCGTAGTGGGAGTTACTAGGTGAATATTGAGGAAGGGTGTCACGTGGTAAGGTGGTCCTTTTTGCAATATGCATATAGATTATTACCCACGGCAGGTAAATTTTAGGGCAAATTACAAATTTAGTAACTTAATTTTACTCTCTCTCCTATTTTACTCATTATACTATTAATCTTTCTAATATAATCATTGAACTTTATACATAAATTTTTTGATCACTCAACCGTTTTCTCATTAACAGTGTTACTACATGGCTTATTTTAATAATAAAATATGCCACGTATGATTTACAATTTTAAAAAATAAAAAATAAAATTCTTGAAATCTATCAAACCATAAATCTAAACCTTCAAACCCCAAATCTCAAATCACAAGCTCCTCCTCATCCCATCTAATTCTTCCCACAAATCCCAATCTGATTCCTCCATTTTCCTCATTGCCTCTTGCTTCAACGTTTTAGTCACCATTGTTTCTCCTATCTATTTACACATCACCATATCACAAGTTTCATTGATTGTTTGAAACTAAACCCTGCAATTGCTTCCTCTGTAAATGTTTAGGTGATACTAAAGGGCAAGTTGCCTGAAGGCCTTTTTGACCTCAAATTCAGAGGCATCGAGTTGGATAATGAGGGTTGTTCTTCGTTTTCGTCTTCTATTCCTTTTCCTTAACTTGCATCCACCAAGAAGTCATTGATCGCAAACCAAATGATCAAACCAAATACTCAAATCCCCTCGAGAACAAACACAACCCCTAGCCTCCAGTCCTAGTTTGAGAGCCAAATATTATATTATAAATAAATAAGAAACGGGGAAATATAAACAATGGGCAGATGAGTGATATTGATGCTAAATCTACGAAGTTTGAGGTATTTTTCTGTTAAACTAATATTAAATTTGCGTTCGAAATGGTGAGACACGTTCGGTGGAAAGTTTTGAAAGTCATTGACTCCAGAAAACAGTAACCAGTGGTGGTCAGAACGGCGGCCGATATGGTGACCGAAACTTGGTATATTCAAGTTGCGGGGAAAAAACAGAGAAAAAATAAAGACGACGAAGAAGAAGAAGAAGAAAGAATATGAGATATTAATTATTTTCTTCTATTATCTGTATTTTAATAATTAAAATATATATATTTAATCCATATTATAAACACCGTTAGTAAGTTAACGGTATAATGATCAAAAAATTAATGTATAAAGTTTAGTGATTAAATTAAAATGATTGAAAGTATATTGAATAAAATAAAATAGAAAGTAAAATTTAATTACTAAATTTACAATTTACCCTCAATTTTAAGCTTTCGTTTTTTGTAAATACGAATTTAGTTGGATAAATACTAAATGTGTCGAACACCTTTCACTGTCAGACGGACAGACAGACAGGTGGTTCCCTCCTTCAATAAAAGACGCGGGGTCATCACTTGATATTTTTTGGCCTGGGACTTTGGTGGTTCCCTCCTGACGGTGGTTTGCTAACTGGCAACAGTGCAACCCATATCACCTTTACTATCCTTTCATCTTCGTTTTCTTCACTATTCTCTCATTTTCATCTGATTTTCTTTTCTGACTACTTTTTTTTCCTTCCTTTTCCCAATTCTTAGATTCTCCAAGAGAATCGAATGTTACATGCATTTGAATAAAATTATAAAAAGGGAAGAAAATGAAAGACGCCAAGAAAGATTCAGAGATAGTATGGAATCAGATTCAGATGAGAAGCCCATCGGGAAATCCTCTTGTTTTTGGACACTCGACCCGACCCATTCCCAAGCTCATGGTCTGGTTAATCCTCTTCGTTTCAATTACCTATGTTATCTACACTCTCGAGCTCTTAACAGCCTCACTTCACCTTGCCTCCGGCGATTTCCCCTTCACTTCATCTCTTCAATGGCGTTCGTTGACACCGTCGTTTCTCAATCAATCGGCTGATTCGAAGTCACTCATTCAACTCCATCGGAATGTTCGAGAAAAACTGGTGTCGGCAGTACAAATTCAACAGGCTCCGAACCAGCCGAGGCCGACGGAAATCCACGACATCGTTTTCGGAATTGCAGCTTCTTCCAAGCTATGGCAGCAGAGGAAAGAGTACATCAAGATTTGGTTCAAGCCGAACAAAATGCGGGGCGTTGTTTGGCTCGACGATCGGGTGAAATACACTCCCGAAGACAAGCGGACCCTTCCACCGGTTCGTGTCTCGAGCGACACTTCCAACTTCGCTTACACGAACCGGCAAGGTCACCGGTCCGCGATTCGTATCTCGCGGATCGTGACGGAGACATTGAGGTTGAAGATGGATAACGTGAGGTGGTTCGTGATGGGTGACGACGACACCGTGTTTATAGCCGAAAATCTGGTTAGGATTTTGAGGAAATATGACCATACGCAGTATTATTACATTGGGAGCTTGTCGGAATCTCACCTTCAGAACATATATTTCTCCTACGGAATGGCTTACGGCGGTGGAGGCTTTGCCATTAGCTATCCATTGGCTAAAGCTTTGGTGAAGATGCAAGACCGTTGTATTCAGAGGTACCCAGGATTGTACGGATCAGATGACAGAATGCAGGCTTGTATGGCTGAACTCGGTGTCCCACTCACTAAGGAACTCGGCTTCCACCAGGTCGGTGACTCAATTGTTTGAGTTGGTAAAGTGCATTGTTTCTGTTTCTTTTATTAACTTGAATGTCAGTTCAAGTATCTCTAATAGTGATTTTAGGTAAACTAATCTTGACTGAATTTAATGCTATAGGAGTTAATGAAGCATTTGCCATCATTTTAAACTTATAAAATTAAACATTTGTGATTAAGAAGTTAAACTTATAAAATAAAAATTTGCAGTGTATCAACCTTAGGTGGGTGATTAACTCAGTGCATTAGGTTGTCAGCTTATAAAAGTAATATTCGATTCTAAGTGTTGCTTTTTGGTTAACTGGAATCAGTATGACGTGTATGGGAACTTGTTTGGACTCCTTGCTGCACATCCCGTAACGCCATTGGTGTCACTGCATCACCTTGATGTCGTGGAGCCTATTTTCCCCAACGTTACCCGAGTTGAAGCCCTTGAGCGGCTTATGTTGCCTGCAAAGCTGGATTCGGCTGGAATCATGCAGCAGTCCATCTGCTATGATAAAAGCAAGAGTTGGACCGTTTCGGTTTCATGGGGTTTCGCTGTTCAAGTCTTTAGAGGAATCTTTTCACCACGGGAAATGGAAATGCCGTCGAGGACATTTTTGAATTGGTACAGAAGAGCAGACTACACGGCATACGCATTCAACACACGCCCAGTAAGCCGAAACCCATGCCAAAAGCCATTTGTGTTTTACATGTCCAAGGTGAGGATGGATTCGGAAGTGAACCAAACCGTGAGCGAGTACGAGCGGCACCGTGTTCCTCATCCTCCCTGCAGATGGAAGATGGCAGATCCTATTGCACTTGAAATGGTGATTGTGAACAAGAAACCAAACCCACATCTGTGGGATAGATCGCCGAGAAGAAACTGTTGCAGAGTCATGGAATCAAAGAAAGCAGGAACCATGGTGGTGAATGTGGGTGTATGTAAAGATGGTGAGGTTACCGAAGTATAGTATAGTGATCGATATCTCCCAAGTGTCCAATATTGTTTGTCTGCAAGAATAGTGACAGTGTCATCTGGGAAAGCAACAAAATATATTTTGTATAATGTCACTCCTATTTACTAGTTAAATATTAATTTAAATTTTTATTGAATAAGAGGCAGGTCCAAAAGCTTAAGCTGTGTTTAATTGAAGACTGAACTTCAATGATTTTGTCCATGATCCAAGAAATGCTTGGTTTGGCACAATGAAGTGTGAGTGAAGTTAATGTCTAATGATAGTTGCCTCTTCCCAAAGGGAATCTCTAGGAATGGTATTGATTAGGAATTTTTAGTCATAAGGTTGGAGTGCGGATGTAAGTAATAGATTTGTTTAAGGGTGGGCAGTGGACACGATGGGCGTAAGAAAGTGTCGGTGCAATTGACAATGGTCAATGGGCGTAACCGCGTAAGAAAGTGTCGGTGAAATTTTTATTTCAATACCAATGTAACGGCAACAACCTGTAAAGCTGTAAGCCATGCCACATAACGTCGTCCAATGACAAGACGACATGGCAACCGGTTCTAGAGAAATGGGTTCCATCCCATCCCACTCCTCTGCTGAGACACAGAAAATAAATTTTCTACACTAGTACGGTCGGTCCACCACATCATAAATCACATTTAGCTGGTGTTTATTTTTGCAGAGGTAAAATGTTTACAGTCTGCGGATTACATCAGCAGACATCTGTAGCAGAAGAGGTAAACTAAAAGTCTGCAGTCTGCAAGAAGAAGACTGTTTGTTTTTTAACGTCTGCAGACTGCTAAAATGAACTGAAATATAAATAAACTAATTTTTTAAACTTAAAAGAGTTTTGCAATACTGAGATTAAATAATTTTAGTTTTACAATACTGAAATTTAAATAATCCATAAAACTAAAATAATAAATTATTTAAAATAAATTAATCCATATTTTAAAATAAATCAATCGATACTAATAAATTATTTAGAATAAATCAATCCATACAACTACAATAATAAATCAATCCATATTTTAAAATAAATCAATTTATACAAATAAATTATTTAAAATAAATCAATCTATACTAATAAATTATTTAAAATAAATCAATCCATATTTTAAAATAAATCAATACATACTAATAAATTATTTAAAATAAATCAATCTATACTAATAAATTATTTAAAATAAATCAATCTATACAACTACAATAATAAATCAATCAATGTTTTAAAATAAATCAATCCATACAAATAAATTATTTAAAATAAATCAATCTATACTAATAAATTATTTAAAATAAATCAATCCATATTTTAAAGTTAATCAATCCATACTAATAAATTATTTAAAATAAATCAATCCATACAACTACAATAATAAATCAATCCATATTTTAAAATAAATCAATCCATACAAATAAATTATTTAAAATAAATCAATCTATACTAATAAATTATTTAAAATAAATCAATCCATATTTTAAAATAAATCAATCCATACTAATAAATTATTTAAAATAAATCAATCCATATTTTAAAGTAAATCAATCTATACTAATAAATTATTTAAAATAAATCAATCTATACAACTACAATAATAAATCAATTCATATTTTAAAATAAATCAATACATACTAATAAATTATTTAAAATAAATTATTTTAAAATAAATCAATCCATATTTTATAATAATTTATTTTAAAATAAATTATTTTATAATAAATTATTTTAAAATAATTTATTTTTAAAATAAATTATTTTAAAATAAATAACCTTATTAAATTATTTAAAATTATTTTAATAAATAACTTTATTTTATAATTGTTCTTGAAGAGGTTTGAAGACATTTGAAGACATAAAACCAAGTCTGCACCAAGAAGAGCTCGAGCAGACGTTTGAAGAGCTTATGTCTTCTAAAAGACAAACAGTCTGCGAAGCCTAATGTCTGCGCGACGCAGACATAAGTGGTTTGAAGAGCTTGCACAGTGAAAATAAACACCACCTTAGAGATGATAGGGATTGGATAGAATTAAATTAGGTGATTATACCGAAAAATTACCTTTTCAAACATTATATACCTGTCAGACCTTTTTCATCTTTATTTATCGATTTAACATCTTTTATAAAAAGATGCGCCTATTGAAGTGGGTCTTATGGTGACATAGGTACACGTTGGCCCCTGGGGCGTATCTTACGTAACGTAAGGGTATAGCGCGGTACAGGGGTCACGTTTTCCTGCAATTATGACATGTATAATGCAAGGTGCAGTGCACGGGCCGCGCCTTGTATAATTTCATCTGACCTCGACTTTAAGGCATTGTCTCTCCGCTATAAATATCCCTCTCTCGTAAACTCTCTCACAACTCTCTTTCAACTGAGAAACTACTACAATAAATCTCTCAACCAGTAAAAAACACCTGACAATCCTTTTATATTTTATTCAGAAGTTCGTTCGATCTTTCGTTATAAGGTAATTTTTTTAAATATTTTTTATAATTATATATGATTATTTGAAGAAAAAATATTGTATTTATTGTTTTCAATTAATTTTTGTGGTTGTAAAACACGAAAGCGGAAGCATACGTCGAAATATTTTTTCCAATACAGTAATAATATAAATTTATATTATTTAAATTATTTACGTTTATGTGTAAAATTATTTACGTTTATGTATAAAAAAATTTATTGTGTTATATTTTCGTTCATATATTATTTATTTAATTAGGTTTGTTTCAGGTTTTTTTTTTGCAGATATAATATTGTCACACTTTCAAACCCTAAGAATGGCGCGAATTCCAGTTATTGTTTATTATGATGGAGAAATTTGAGAAGATGAAACCGGCGTTGTTTTCGTATCAAATCATTATGTTAAAATATCATTTAAGAGAAACATAACTCTTTAGGAGCTGATAACGAATATTTCAAGGAAAGTTTATGTTGGAAGTACTAGAAGAATGTCGTCGTTGTAGTACAGATTTCCAACATCATTGTTGCCATTAACTTATACAGCTTTCGAGCTATCGAACAATGATGATGTAGAAATGATGGTTGAATCTCAAAGTAATTATTCAGACGCCGATATTAAGATTATGCAAAGTTTGTTCAAGTGCGTGTTATTCGGGGTCTGTCATTAAGCTCCCACTATGGGCTGGCTGAACAAGTTGACAGCCCGACTACAGTAATGTGTAAAGATTTTAATGTCATAATGGGGAGACATTCATAAGCAACTGTTTACGATATGTACCGAGCTGGGTCCACGAACAATCCGTATGACAACATCGCGTCCAGTTCAAGGAGAAGATATTCATCTGCAAATTTCTTTGACCTTAATATGGAGATGCCCTCGACGCAACAATCTGTGTAGTTTCCATTTCACATGATGACTTCAAGCTGCAGGGGGAGACATTCGACTGCGAGCTTTTTCGATCTCAATATCGATATGCCTTCTAGTTCAAGGGAAAGGCGTGCAAGTAGTAGGTTCTTCGACCTAAATGTGGAGAGCATGGAGGAACCATCATCTCCACCAGAAGAACCGCTTCGTGAGCAAGGTGCGGATGGTGCTGAGACTGGACTATTCATTCACCCAGAATCACCATAATTCAACTCCGATGATGATGATGATGTAAATGAAGTTCCCTCAAATGTGGCACAAACTGACCCTCCAACACATATGTATGAAGTTGATTATGGTGCAATGTACGGGCCATAATTTATGGATATGCCTAATCTCGGTGACTATGGATTTTACTCATCAATAAACAATGGTGAGTTATCTTTAGGCATGGAGTTTTCAAGCAAAGAAGAAGCGATGATGGCTATAAAAAATTACAATATCTGTAATTCTATTCAATCCAGAGTCGCCCGCTCTACGACAGAAATATATGTATGTCAATGTGTCCGACGTGAAGAAGGATGCAATTGGATGGTTTGCGTATCGAAGAGGATGAGAAAAAATAATAAATGGGAACTAACGGTATACAACGGTCCTCACATATGTTTCGCTGGAGGGATCAACGAAGATCATCCCAACTTAGACTCTGAAGTGATATGTCAAGCCATCATGCCCATGGTAAAAGAAAGCTCACATATAACTATTGTTGTGTTGATTTCAGCTATACAATCGCAGTATGGGTATTCCGTCTCATACAGAAAAGCATGGAAGGCAAAGCAAAATGTCATTAAAAAACTTCACGGTGAATGGGATACATCTTACAACGAACTTCCAAGTTGGTTTACACTGGTGCGGAAGTTGAATCCTAGGACAATTGTGAACTTCGAAACCTCCCATGCATACCATTATGATCAAGTTCTTCGCGATCGATGCCAATTTTACCGGGTTTTTTTGAGCTTACCCACAGTGCATTAATGCTGTCAAATACTGTAAGCCTGTGGTCCAGATCGATGCGACTTTCTTATATGGAAAATACAAGCAAGTTTTACTATTGACAGTTATCCAAGACGATAATCACAACATTCTTCTAGTTGCGTTTGCTCTCGTTGAAGGAGAAGATATAGATTCTTGGGCTTTTTTCCTCCGAAACTTACGTTCACATGTTATCACGAGGGGAAAAATTTGTGTCATTTCAGATCGCGGAGCTGAGATCAAAGCAGCAATGGAGTCTTTGGATCCATTGTGGCATCTACCCTTTTTCCAACATAGGTGTTGTATCCGACACATTGCTACGAACTACCATGGAAGGTTCAAGAAGAATGATGAGCGTCAATTACTTGTGTGCATGGGTAAGCGAAACCACTTTTTTTTCTTTTGATCGTTTTCATTTAAGGAAACAAAGTTAGTAAGTTCTACATTTTTTATCAGGTTAGGAACTACTTCCTCAAACATTTGAATCCATGCTTCAAGATTTGTGGGCGAAGAACGATGAAGGGTACGATTATATCAGCCTTATCGATAAAGAAATGTGGACAAATGCATATGATGGTGGATATCGATATGGACACATGACGACTAACTTGGCTGAGGCAATCAATTCGACCTTAAAGGGTGCACGTCACTTACTTGTAGCGACTTTGGTAAAAACTATATATTTTCGTTTGGGGGCGTTTTTTGCGAATCTCAGGGGATAAGCTCAAATATGGATGCAAGGCGGTCATGTCTATCACCCTAGATTAGTTTTAGATCTACAAAAAACATT